AAAAAATCTAGACCTTTATGTTTTTCACGAAACGGTGAAAAATACTTAGTCAGGGTACCTATGCTAGCTTCGGTAATGGTAATAAAATTTATTAATATGTGTAACGTAGACTCGTAATGTGCTTGTATGTATTGATGTATTCTATCGCTCGTCAACTTTTTAATTATTGGTAGCATGAAGACAGTATAATGAAATCATCATATAAATGACCAAGAACATTTAGATGAAAAATGTTGTCAAGACGAGACCATATGGCTAGTACTATCTAAAAAATTCAAATCTCATGTAGAGCCAAGCTTCTAATTACACGCCCTCTAGAAACTACTACACCTTACTACTAAAATATAATATGACGGTTTTGTTACTACAAAAACTATTGTACCTATACCTGCTTACCGAACAAAAAAGAAGAAGTAATTATGACGCAGCAATAAAACACCATGTATTATGAATAAAAGTACCTAGTGCCTAATAAACCTGAAAGAAAGGGAACTAAAAAACCGATCCTGTATACCAACTGAAAAACTAACACCTTCACATCACACGAAAACCTCCTCTGAATCCTAACTCAAAAGGCATAGTCCTGCGTGGCACGCCTCGCTCGCAACATGTTGCAAGCTGCCGCCCAATGGCGCCGCTTGCAACTGTAGCGAGCGCTCGCATTGGCCCAGCTTTGTGGCAAGGCGGGGACGGGACACTTCATTAAGCTACTGTTGCAGGACTGTAGGTATTGTTTTCCGGGAAAAGATTGGCCAATGGGAAGGGCTTAAAACGGGACTCATTTGGGCTGTTTGCTAAAATAATCTCGAAGGAAAAGTTGTGAAGAAACTGCTTTGATTTTTTGTTAAATTATGTAGTAGATAATTTTTCAAAAATACCTACACGAAAACAGAAAGATCTCTTATCTAAAACTAAAAGAACAATCAACAAAACAATGTGTTACAAACTTAGGTGCTGCTCGGTCACATAATGTTCTCTATTATGATTTTGCTATTATGAGTTCAAACACATCGGTCTGCACCTGAAATCAATAAACTAAAGAGAATGTCATAAAAACTTGTAGTTATTTACTTTCTCGAAGCTCAACACAATTTGGTGAATCACATACTTTCCAGAAAATAATAATATTCATCGAGTGAAGCTTTTGTGTAGAAAATGTAGAGTTTTAAATATACGCTCGATGAGTTACTTGGAAATGGTTGACATTGATAGGTAGATACGAGTGAACTCTAGAGTTCATGGTTTCTGCGGATTGTCATCCAATGAGGATTTTCGCGATTGGAAAATCCGCCAGATGGCGGACGCGAAAACCCTATTTAAAACAACTTGTGGAGGTAAGTAGGCTAGGTACACGCGGAAAAGCTTTATTTATAGTTTCCGGTCCAAGGACACTTTTATCCAACAAGTTAAGCTTCTTGTGGTGCATGGCGTAGTGGTGTGCAAGTGGTAGAGACCCGAGTGGTTAGGTAATAATACAAACTGTCACATGGAATCATTTTGAATCAACTCTTGCCACTAGAAAAAGTGATAGGTAAAAAACTTTAATTGTTCGTTCGTTCGTTTCAGCCGAAAGACGTCCACTGCTAGACAAAGGCCTCCTCGAAGGATTTCCACAAAGACCGGTCCGCATCCAGGCACCTCCCGCGACCTTCACCAGATCGTCGGTCCACCTAGTGGGAGGCCTGCCCACGCTACGTACAAGTACTTTGTACAAGAAACTTTCATAAATCTAGCCATTTTTACAATAAGGTTTTTCTAAAGCTTCTTTACTCTTCCCAAAATCCTAGTACAGTTTCTTGCTAAGACTATTCTCACTCCTAATATCGAATGTCACTCGTTTTTTTAGAATGTTATCAGTTGATTCTGTTCTCGATTTGCAAAGAGCTTTTGACTTAAAGCAGTTCTAATTTGTTTATCTCTCGTGTTCGTATAGTTTCACTTGTTAAAACTATTCTCACTCCTAATATCGAATATTACTCGTTCTTTTAGAACGTTTTTAGTATAGAACTGTTCTCGATTTGCAAAGAGCTTTTGACTTAAGCAGTTCTAATTCGTATATCTCTCGTGTTCCTATAGTTTCACTTGTTAAGACTATTCTCACTTCTAGTAGCGAATATACCTTGTTCTTTTAGAATGTTTTAAGTATAGAACTGTTCTCGATTTACAAAGAGCTTTTGACTTAAGCAGTTCTAATTCATATATCGCTCGTGTTCGTATTATTGCTCTCGCATGGCAGTCTCTCAACTTGAACAACACAATATCCGGTGCCATAGAACGTAAACACGCGCCCACTCGAGCCAAGATTAAAGCTTTCCATTTACGAACCGCGCTACATTGCGCAAACAACTCCTTGTTATTATCTTAAGTAAGTGTGTGGCTCAGTGAACTCAGTGGTTTGTAAAGCTAGACCGTCTTTTTGGGAATTTGTAAACGGAATTCTAATTTAATTTGTCAGTTTTTCTAGATTTTTTATGTCTTAATTAAGTCGACTCTCCACTTACTTAGAATCTTTTTCAGATTTTGTGATCTACTATGTATATCAAATTTTACTATGATATTTGCTGTCTAGCTTTTTAATTTACATTTTAGATCTTTTACTTCAATTAAATAAAATTGTATAGATTTATCTTTTTGTAGAGTATCCTAAACTCTTCTTCATCTCTTAGAGCAGGTTCAGTTTCTATGGAATCTGTGTCTCTAGACAAAGTGACATTCGAATGCGAGCTTCTTATCGCTTCGCTACACTGCCAAAGTTTTTCCCAAAACAGTAGGTAGGCCTTCATTATCAAAATCGATTGACCCTTTTCTAAAAGCACAACTGTTTATGAGACCGACGACTTTTATAGATATCAAGCTTCCATAATATTGAAGGTGATATTAAAACAGAACAATTTACACATTACACCCAGCCAAGTCGTGTCTGGTGGGCGGCGGGGGCGGGGAAGGGGGGAGCGATATTCAAATTGCGAACATTTCATTTTAACGCTTGCGAAGATATTCGCTCCGCTCCCACGCTCTTCGTGGTGATGTGACATGGCACATCGATGTCGATGAATTTATTGTTTTATTATTAATTATTTAGACGGATTAGCAAGCTGAAGTGGCAATGGGCAGGGCACATAGTACGCAGAACTGACGGCCGATGGGGCAGCAAGATTCTGGAGTGGAGACCGCGTACCGGAAAACGCAGTGTGGGACGTCCACCCACAAGGTGGACCGACGACATAATAAAGGTAAAGCAACATGGAAAGCATTGGGGGAGGCCTACGTTCAGCAGTGGACGTCCTATGGCTGAGATGATGATGATGAATTATTTAGAAAGCTTTTTCTTTGGGTAAAATTTTAAGTAGGGATACGGAATGTTATCCCTGATCAGAATGTTTGACAGGACTCTCACAAAATTCAAGGGATGTCTCTTAATATGATTACCAAAAATAGAGATGTACATATTTTATGTGCACTTAGATTAATTCATAATGTGGATGCTACGAGTACCTAGAATAAACATTTCGTAAACTGGAACTCTAAAACTAGTAACTGCTTTGATATAGTAGAGACACGTACTGTTTTGATCTAGCAATACGATGGTTTGTTGCGTGTTTGTTACCAATTTTAACACAGTAATTTGTACTGGGTTAAAATTGGTAACAACATTAGTACATTTTTTCAATCCAACGACCACCAAAATACTAATTAGGTACAAATAATAAAAAGTAATACCTACAACAAGAGCTATCATAAAAATTCTTAAAATCATATTGCTATCGATACTCAGTTCGCTCTTATTCCCCTCGCCAAGTTGAGACGTTTACGAAATGTGAACATTTCACGAATTGATCGTTCAGCCTCGGAATTCTCATTTGCGCCTTGAGACGCCCTCCCCTCCACCCCCCTCACCTGTATCTGTTCGTACAGGGAGATGTCTACGACCTGAGGAGCTTTGTGTCTATTCAGGGTAGACTATTGTATGAGGAATTGAGGATTCAAGTTTTTTGTAGATTTGAAGGATTATTCAAGAATTTTAGAACTTTGAAAAATTGCAATGTTTTCATTTATGCACTTCCATTACTAAAATAAATAATTATCTAGGTATAACTTTAAGAGACATAGCCACCCACACCATTGTCGAGTATTAGAATGTAATACTTTAGTTAATGAATCCAGTGAAGGGGTTTCACCAAATACCTATAATTTAATCAATAACCATCCTGTATCCACATTCCTGATCGGATTAAACACAATACGCGCAGACATTCAGTTATACATTGATAATTACTCTCCCACCCGCCACCCGCGCCACCCTCGTCTCTCATTGTAATTTAAATCGAATTCCCTTCGACAAGTAAATTGAAATATTTCAATTTGGACGCACCTTCCGGCTCCGTTCGACATTTGAATTGAATTTGAATTTGGAATTAAGATACCGTTAACTTACTCGCTCGAGTTCTTACATTATTTACTTATGTAGATGATGTATTTACATCCAAGCGAGCTCTGCGAACGCAAATTGAGATATCATCACAAGTGTGCACGTCATGACGAATTAAATGATACTAAAGCATAATACCCTCATTCAAACTTATCAAATTCACATCTACCTAAATAATACACTCGAAACAAAATCCATATTGACCCGAGCGAAGATTTAACCGCACTCTAAACAATCAAACAAAAACCTCTACAATAAATATTAAAAAAGAATCGGAATCCTCGACGCGAATAACAAACATAATTGTGTTTTTTGTGCCTCATTCAATAGAGCTTTGTCCGGTAACACAAAAACTGGTTCTCAAAAAAGTCACCTTTATAAATTAAGTTTCAGCATCGGCGCGGCCAATGGCGGCCCAGAGGCGTGGTCGCGCGGGCTACCCATTGGCTGCACAAGCGCTCTCATCTGACTACATTTTATATAACCGGATGATACAACATATACAGTTAACACTATAGAGAGAGCGGGACGCAGCTAGCGCTTGAATACAGTGTGTCGTTTCGCACTCGTGCCGTCTCGTTCGCGCAATGCCCCGGCAACTGTCAGTTTGTTCGTCCGCCGAAAATGAAGCAACAGTGTTGGTTACAACCCGGGGCGAGACGTCGCCTAAAGTGTTGCGCGTTCCATTTTCAAATCGCGACTTTGACGTTTGGTGGAACTTTTTCAGTTTGAAACGTTTCAGTGTTGGAAATATTTTTTAAATTGGAATTTTTGTGCTTTTCAAATGAGTTGTTCGTGTGTTTGAAGTTGCGACTGGACTTTTTAGGGGTAGTTTAGTTGTCTTATAATGGAAATGTCTTTGCCGAACGGAGTGGATGTGTCTCAGCTGGTGCAGCACCCAGTCCTGGCTGCTTTGCCTCCATTCTTCCTCAGAGCCTCGGAAAGATATCAGGTAATTTCTAACCTAAGCTGACCTTCATGAGAAAGTGTTTAGATCTTTGTCATCATCTTGTTTAATTGGGAAATCACTAGTTTTTTTTTTTTCATTTATAAAAAAAATCATCATCATAAAAGCATAAAATAAAAATAAATATTGAAGTAATCTTTCACGACTTAAAAAAGGAAACATGATTTTTTATCGCTAAATTCGTGCTTCTCCAATTTTATTCAGTTCTTTACTGAAGTATTTAATTAATTAAATTTAATTCTGTGATAAAAGTTCTCAAAATATGAACTTTGAATTTTAAATTACCGACGGCGAAGCGACGGTGCCGCGAGGTCCGCGTTTCCAATAATTTTGCTAAACAGAATCTTTTCAAGTTACTCAATTCTTTACTCTACATTTTTGACGAAAACCCTTTTTGACGAAGACCTACAGTAAAGAAAAATAAACTATAATTATGAATCATAAAGCAAAAAATAAAAAAGCAAAAGAAAGAAAGAATAAAAATCAGTGGTTAATAATTATCAAAACAGTATCCAATGGCACTTCCGTATCCGTAATTGATACCTTTAATAAAATTACATTGTAGCATTGTTAATTTAAACAAACCGTGTTAACATAAACGAGGGGCAACTTGTAACGTGACACTTTAATAATGTTACATTAACCCACGAATACATTTGCCATTTGGGATAATTTTGTAACGTGATATTTTGATTAGAGTATGACTGACTGCAAATAGTTGGTTGAAAAAAAGACTGTGGATGGTAGTGACTCGTATTTTGTTAATGTTAATCATTACTCCAGTTGATATTGTAACACGATAATAGCTTAATTTTAATAATAACGATATTAAGTAAGGTACCCTTAGCGTTTTTTGGAAATCGGGTCTGTTATCAAACAACAGTTAAAAAATAATAAACGATCATGTTTAATGCAGTATCTTTTAAATATTTTCTTCTATAAAGCATAACCTTCCTAACGTAACCCAGCATAACGGCATACCTACCTCCCTCTTTATAATGAAATAAACATCCGATCATTTACATAAAAAAATACATTTTTCTTTGACTATCAAAATTACACCTCTTATTGGAAAACCCTATAGAAATATTTTTGATGAAATGTGTACCTCAGTTTGCTTTTAAAAAATGTTTTATTTAAGCTTGATTTCATGTTCGTCTCTATCAAAGCAATAATAGTCCTTTTGTTGACAGTATTTAATCCCAAATATTAGGTTTACACCATGGCCATATTCGATTTGCTTCCTGTAATTCCTTTTTTATTACTTTTGGGTCGACAGAGACGTCTTCAATTCTTTATTGCAATGCCTTTGTACTAGGCCGTGCAGGATGCATCTAGGTGATCACTGTTGTCTCTGTGTTTATGAAATGCAATTTACAGTCTACTTGCCAAGAAATAAGAGTTCATGAATTTTAAAATACTGAATTTCCGAACCGATTTACAGAAAGCTCTACCTATTCTCTAACCACATTACGCTTGTTCGAACTTAAAACATAAACAAAATAGCAGTAATTATTTTATTTCTATTTTTGTAATGGTTTACGAATAGTTAAGCCCTTTTTCTCCTATAATCTACAATGAAACGTCTACTTTGAAGGCTGTTCTCTGTACTGCAATGTACCTAATAATATTGAAGATGAAGATATTATTATTTTGATACATGCAAGAGTAGCGAAATCGAAGTTTACAAAAGCCAAGTCATTGCCATATTTTTTTTTTCACAAGAAGAAAAGGTAGGGGACAAGTTGTGACACTAGCAGCTACACAGGTAGTTACAACAGAGAACGCTATATTATAGAGAAAAATGATACGGCAGTTAGAGGAAAGATAGCCAGTTCCTCTATGGTCTATAGTCTATAGTTTCCCAGGTGAGATGCAGGCCGAAAGTTTCCTCGTTGGCCAGTATGCGCCGTGTGCAGTACATCAATAGCGTTCTCTGTCGTGTCACAAACAGCCCCATTCTACCCAAGTAGCACCCAGATAGACTGACTCCAGTTCCTCCTGTTAACCCATCTTAGTTGTTTTCGCAGAGGACCCCAAAATGCGCTCGCTGCCGCAACCACGGCGTGGTCTCCGCGCTGAAGGGACATAAGCGCTACTGCCGCTGGCGCGATTGCGTGTGTGCGAAGTGCACGCTCATCGCAGAACGGCAACGGGTCATGGCAGCACAGGTGAGAGGATATTATAGGGACACGTCAATTTACAGGCCCGACGGATTAGCAAGCTGAAGTGGCAATGGGCAGGGCACATAGTACGCAAAACTGACGGCCGATGAGGCAGCAAGGTTCTGGAAAACGCAGCGTGGGATGTCCACCCACAAGGTGGACCGACGACATCATAAAGGTAGCAGGAAGGCGCTGGACGCAGGCCGCTACCAACCGGGCAACATGGAAAGCATTGGGGGAAGCCCATGTTCAGCAGTGGACGTGCTATGGCTGAGATGATGATGATCATGACTACGTCAATAGTCTGATATTCCACCATCATCATCCAACGGGCCACTGCTGCAACTTCTGTGGCCAGGCCTGACAGAGCGTCATGGTAGCAGAGGTGAGATGAGACATATCCCACCACACTTTCTCACCACTGCAACTCCTGTATAGTCAGGATCTACAGCTTGACCTCCAATGAAACCCAACCAGTGAAGGTTGAGTAGTCCCGGGGGTTGAACGGATCAAGATTTCATTATTAGTTAGATCTTTAAGACATAAGTTAGCGGCGCAGCGCAGGTGAGAGAATTTACAGTGACTTGGTAACGAGTGGTGTGGTAAACACGCTGATTGCAAAGAGAGCTATGACTGCATCGGCAAAGTAATACAACATTAACAACACAGTGAATTGCAGAGAAAATTTAAAGAAAATGGCCATCCAAGATGGTGTTAACGAATGTCAACGGTGATCAGTTCATCACACAGTATAATGATTGGTCGGTGTGAGATTTGACGTTATTAAAATTTTCCAATTCAAGACGCTTGGAGTGATTCTTGCCAAGAATTACATTGAAGGAGAAGAACAAACACTGACTTCACTAAAAATTCCGCTGTCATCTTGGAAGTTACGCTCTCGCATTTTACGGATGACTCTGGCAGCGTCCTTGATCTTATGTCTTGTGCTATTGTCAATGGACTGGCTCGCTTCCACGTCCTTTGCAACTGAAACAAAGTTCAGTTCGTGAGATGTCACGTCGCCTTTTTCCAACTGCCTTGCGTTGATCTAGCCAGTTTTCTAATTGTAAACTTAGATTGTAAAAGTCAAAATCTATCACAACCGTTTTCAGTTTGCTTGACGCTCTATATTTCAGAGATCTCATCGTTTAAGTAAAATTCGAATGAGATTGTAATTCTTTATTTTTACGCAAGAATTGAAGATATTCACTTATTTCTACAGTAATACTAATAAGACGTGATAAAGAATAAATTATGTCTTTTTTAACTCCAACTTGGTAGTGGTCCACCGGTTGCGGTTTAAAAACGCAGCGGCTAGTCAGCCGTCCTCACCCATCCCAGAGCGTGGCTTTCCTTAAAATCGTGCCACCTGGTAAACCGGTTTGACAGGGACAGGCCTCGTCCTGGATAGGTCTGCACTATCGTAATGTATCGTATCTTTTTTAACTCCAAATTCGTGTTCTAGGTGGCGCTCCGGCGACAACAGGCGCAAGAGGAGAACGAGGCGCGGGAGCTGAACCTGCTCTACGCCGGGCAGACCGCGCCGCACCACTACTCCGACGTGCCCGACGACTCGCCTGGTGAGTTAGCTACCTTATTACTACCATACATTCTTCCAGGATGAAGGCTACTCGCCTGTTGAGTTGTCTACTTACGTACCACGTTACTACATGTCTTCAACCGTGATTGTGGCAATAATAGCTGAAACGGTTATATTTCTTCCTATCTCCAATTGTGGCAAACGGAATCGGTTGCCGTTTCAAGATTCAAGGATTGCTAGTACGTCAACCACTGAACGTTATGGTGGACCCACTTCTAACGGCCTTCAGACACTGTTATTTTAATAATGACTTTTTTACTATAATTCCTTTCGTCGGTAACGGGACTATTTCCAACCCACCGTAAGTAAAAACCCAATCAGTGAAAACAACGTTTATGTGAAGAACATGAACAATTCTAAATTAAGGATTTCTTCCAACGTAAATTATGACAATAATAGACCAAGCGGTGTCGGCATCGGACTGCGGTTTTGCGATTGGAGGATCGCTACTGTGACCAACACAAGCAAGCTTACATTTCGTTGTAAGCTAAACTTTGTAAATGAGCTTACTTGGAGGATTTAACCGAGAAATTCAACTTCTTACCATAAAAATGAATGATTGAAAGCATAACTTTTTACCAAAGCAAAGCGTTAATTCACGAAGTCCTTTATAACAATCATTATTCAATATATACTGTTTATTTCACAAACCATGATTAATTTAGAAAGACTAGAAAGCTTTCAAAAATCATTTAATCTACATACATACAAAACAAACTGAACATAAATAGGAACTTTAGACAAATCACACCGTTTGAACACAACAATCATATACCGGTACAGTGTCTGTACTCTGAGCTCTGTAGGGCGGGCGGAAATGCGCTCGTTTGCGGCGGGAAGGCCCCGCGGCGCCCAAGATTGGCTCCTTGGCTCCGGCCGATGCTGTGGACCCGACAGGGAAACACGTCTCACATGCAAACGACAAGCAATCGTGTTCAAAGAATATTTACTTAACAGTTGACAAGAATTAAATTGTATTGTTTAGTGTTATTCTAACACGCATACGTGTCTTTTTATCAAACAGCCAGGTTTTAGCAACGGTAAAAGCAATGATGGCTTCTTTAAACTTATGAAATTTGAATGTTCGCATGATTTTGTTTGTTTCTTGGGCGGTTAAGTTGGCGATTGGGCCGTGTTCTAAAGTGGGATAAGTCGAGTACGTATTGGTCGTTGCCGTAATACTATTTCAAACAATACAAATTCGTTCAGTGTTATAATATTCATTTACCACTTGTAAACGAATTTAACAGAACCTTAAACAGCAAAGATACTTAACCCCCTGCGCCTTAAGTAAATTCAATAATTTAAATTCAAATTCAATAATTTATTTGCTAGAATACATAATTACATGCTCGTTTTACAAAGCAGGTCTTATAGCTAATATAATTCCCATGTATTCAGCCTGCAAGCAGACGTACAAATATTTTATCAGTCAGATTATTATTTAACATACAATGTCACAAATCAAATTAAAAACACTAAAAACGTTCGACTTTAGTTCCCGACTCTACCATTTACGTATTCGATTGCCCTTACAGAATCTGAACAATCACATCATTAGCCAATAAACACACTCCAAACTATTGCAATTAAAACACCGTTTAAATTAAAATGTTCTAACAATCGCAACGCTGGCAACTTTCAAACTGTTGTAAAAACAAACGACGGAGAAGAAAGAACAGCGCGCCAATTAAATCCCACAAAGTACTAAGTGTTGCCACTCGCGCTTGCGTCGGCTGAGCAACTAGGGTTGGCACTTGGCAGTGATGATGTGCAACTCTGTTTCTAAGATGATCCTGTAGGAAGATGAGGCCTAGCGCTTACGAATGCTTACTGTGTTGTCGTGTCGTATTCTTCTTTATCAGTTTCGCTAGGAATACTATTGAATTGACTCAATCTAAGGCTACGCAGCTAGTAGGTTGGTAGGTGACCGAGTTTCTTCGGTAATTTCTTCTCAGCACTAGCTGATATACTGCCCTGGTGTATGTGGTCCTAGGGCAAGCTGTATTTGGGACGTTTAGTGCCCTGAAAAGGCCCTAGTAATAAAGAGTTTGATTTTCTTATCTCTTTATTACTAGACACTTTAGTTTTACTTGCTAAACAACTATAAATTGATAAAGGTACTCGTATACCTAAGTCTTAAGAAGCTTTGACCTGCCTCTACTTTTGTCACGACAGTTTCTTGTCCTAAAAATAAACATTTTGGTAGTTTTGTCGTCTTTACAAGACTAAACTAAACATTAATTGATTGTTCAGTACTTTTTAGACAAATCGGGCGAAGGAAAGTTCTTTAAATTTTAAACATGGTGGATTTTCGCTGTGTGGAACCTTATTCGTCAACCCTGCGCCGGCTGGGGAAGTAAAAAAGTGTAAAACAGAAAAGTGGAAAGTGTAAAAAATGACGTCGCGTCGATATTGTTGCCGCGGCAGCCCGGGTGGCGTGGAGTGGGCCTACAGCTAACAAAAATATAGATTTTAGCACCAATTTTGTTTATTCTGTAAATTCTCGCTTTACTTTTTTGGCTCTATATTTACTCTGCAATTTTTATTTATGAAAACTAGCCTGAAAACGCAACAGACAGTATGTTATTCGTCTGATTTTTCCGATTTTCATAGGTTTTTGTTGTTTATTTAAACGGGACTTTTCGCATGAGATGATTTGATATTCTTGCGAACGCTGACTGATTGACACTACAAAGTGATACGGCCTTTTTACAAGCTTTTTTTTAAAACGGGACTTACAATCACTTTATACCAAATTACACAAGTAAAATGCAGACAGATAGAACTACCAGTTTAAGGGATAATATTGTTTACACGTATCCACATTAATACTAACTGTGGAAGAGGCTAACTACCTCCGAATTGGGAGTGAATTTGCGAGTATACTAGTGCAAAGTCCATCCAGACTGTCCACACATTTCTCTGTGCCACAAATGAATACGTACGGAAAAGTGTAACTGCGTCTCACACCTAACTACAAGCGCTAAACGAAACATTTCCAAGGCGCAGTCGAGTTGGAGGCGATTTAATGTAACTGAATTAAGTTATTTTTTCATACAACTGTTTGCAAAGCAAACCAATATCATAATCTAACTAAAATAGACACGGGTAAAATAAACAGAAACTAATTCAGCATATCCACATACATAAAGTGTCATTTTCTTAATATACCTAAGCGCTATCTAGGGCACTCATACACGTCCCAATATAGCTCGCTCTACCACCACTTCAGCCAACATATCGTCTGTGGCTGTGAAGAAGTTGCAGAAGAAACTCTGTCACCTTTTCAGTTTCTTTAGTAATTTGCAATTCCATTTCACAATAATTTTGAAATTGACATTAGCCTTTTTATTTGCCTTTCTTTTCTTAAAGCAACTTTATACTGTTGGTACCAAACTTCAAAGTACAAATATAAACATAATACCGGGCGCCATTTCTGGTTCCTTCTTTGAAACAGTTTACACTCATTACCTTTTCAGCGACAAGTTGCGACAGGCTCTCCCTACGGTAATGCCTTTCCCTACTTAGTTAATTGCTGCGACACTTCAAGTCACTCCACTCCAGCATTTTGCTGTATACAAATGTTTATAATTCGCCTAGCTGCTTAATTTAAATTTAAACATCAAAGCGAAGTTTGCTTTTAGTGAAACTAAATTATTAAATGTATGAAACTAGCTTTTATGTGGCTTTAATTTATGGGTTTTGTGAGCTTCGAAGGGTTCCCTACGTTTTATCGAAAGTCGTTTCATCGATGGTCGTTTCATCGAAGCCGTTTCATCGATTGGTCATAATCTCGAACGTACGAAATATCGAATGCCGTATCATCGAATGGTCACATTATTGAATGGTCGAATCATCGAATATCTTAGCGTTGAAAGGTCGTATATTAAAGAGTTACCTAGTGACTAATAAAACTACACTCACTCACTTTAAACTACTGTTCAACGAGTGTGTAACTTTTTAATTGTAAGGGAGTTGACCATGACATCGATATAAAAAAAATGAGTTTATAAAGTGAAAATAGCTATTGAATAACATAATAGCGTTCGGCCACCAGACCTGGCTATATGATGCACTCACGCCTTTGCCTTAGTTCCTTAGTACAAGGTACAAGCTAAATTTAAAAAAACATCCATACGGCGAAATCCAACTTTGACGTTCTAAATTTAAATCACTTTACCACTCTTTTACTATTTTGGTGGTTTGAAAACGCATTTTCTTGATACTTAACTTAATACTTAACCACAAGTCATTAAACCTTGATAGTTGGATATTTTAAGTTACGGAAAAAAAGCTGGGTTTAAACTAACTTAGGCTGAGTTGGACCACCTAACTTTGACCGTATCTATGACGATAACCGGAGTTTGACAGATTTTTGAAGTTTGTCACAGTTAAAGTAAGATTGTGCAAGTCAGCCTAACGTCACCTCCCATGTTGCCATATTTGATACTTAATAAACAACCTTTCGACACTAAGACATTCGATGATTCGACCATTCAATAATGTGACCATTCGATGATACGGCATTCGATATTTCGTACGTTCGAGATTATGACCAATCGATGAAACGGCTTCGATGAAACGACCTTCGATGAAACGACTTTCGATAAAACGTAGGGAACCCAGCTTCGAACGCGTTCAAATGGTTGGCTGGCAATTTAATCACATGAAATAACAAACTGTTATGGAAAAAACAAAACTTTTCGAAACATTAAAAGATTATGTAGAGTCCCAATGATGTGCTAAGGTATGCTTCATACAAGACAATTGAAAGGAGTTTTATGTTATAATCATTGTTCTACTGCACATATTCTTTGTAAATGAGAGAAGGATAGTCTGTTAATCAGTAAATCATCAATAAAACCAGCGTCGTGGCTTCCCTCACCGGGGGCCACGGCATATGCTGAGTGGGGTCCCATTGCGATGGGCATCGCTGTGCGACAGGGTGGCACTGCTTAGTTTACTTGCTCATTCATT